GAGACGCTGGCGCGGACGATCAGCTCCACCGAGGTGACAGCCAGGTACTCCTGGGGGGGCAGCGGGATGGGGTGAGCCCCCTCCCCGGCCTGGGGGGCCCATCCCTGTCCCAAGGGTCCCATCCCAAAGGTCTCATCCTTGTCCCCATCTCTGTCCCCATCACTGTCCCTGTCCCTTTCCTGGGGGTCCCCACCCCAGCCCGGGGGTCCCATCCCTGTCCCCGTCCCAAGGGTCCCATCCCAAAGGTCTCATCCTTGTCCCCATCTCTGTCCCCATCACTGTCCCTGTCCCTTTCCTGGGGGTCCCCACCCCAGCCCGGGGGTCCCATCCCTGTCCCCGTCCCAAGGGTCCCATCCCAAAGGTCTCATCCTTGTCCCCATCTCTGTCCCCATCACTGTCCCTGTCCCTTTCCTGGGGGTCCCCACCCCAGCCCGGGGGTCCCATCCCTGTCCCCGTCCCAAGGGTCCCATCCCAAAGGTCTCATCCTTGTCCCCATCTCTGTCCCCATCACTGTCCCTGTCCCTTTCCTGGGGGTCCCCACCCCAGCCCGGGGGTCCCATCCCTGTCCCCGTCCCAAGGGTCCCATCCCAAAGGTCTCATCCTTGTCCCCATCTCTGTCCCCATCACTGTCCCTGTCCCTTTCCTGGGGGTCCCCACCCCAGCCCGGGGGTCCCATCCCTGTCCCCGTCCCAAGGGTCCCATCCCAAAGGTCTCATCCTTGTCCCCATCTCTGTCCCCATCACTGTTCCTGTCCCTTTCCTGGGGCTCCCCACCCCAGCCCTGTCCCAGGGGTCCCATCCCTGTCCCTGTCCCTTTCCTGAGGGTCCCTGCCCCATCCCTGTCCCAGGGGTCCCGTCCCCCTCCCCAGCCCAGGATCCCATTCCTGTCCCCATCCTGGGGGTCCCATCCCTGTCCCTGACCTGGGGGTCCTGTCCCTGTCCCCATCCCAGGGTCTCATCCCCATCCCAGGGGTCCCATTCCCCTCCCCATACCGGGGGTCCCATCTCCATCCCGGGGGTCCCATCTCCATCCCAGGGGTCCCATCCCAGGGGTCCTGTTCCCCTCCCCATAGCGGGGGTCCCATCCCTGTCCATGACCTGGGGGTCCTGTCCCTGTCCCCGTCCCCATCCTGGGGGTCCCATCCCCATCCCAGGGGTCCTGTCCCTGTCCCCATCCCAGGGTCTCATCCCCATCCCAGGGGTCCTGTTCCCCTCCCCATCCCCATCCCGGGGGTCCTGTCCCCCTCCCCAACCCGGGGGTCCCATCTCCATCCCGGGGGTCCTGTCCCCCTCCCCATCCCGGGGGTCCCATCCCTGTTCCTGGGGTCCCATCCCAGGGGTCCTGTTCCCCTCCCCATCCCGGGGGTCCCCTCCCCATCCCGGGGGTCCCGTGCCCCCCACCTCCAGGAAGGTCCCGTTCCAGAGGCGCCCGCGGGCCGTCAGGACGGCAGCGCGCTCGAAGCTGCGCAGGGGACAGCGAAAGGCCAGGCAGCGCGCGGTGCCCTGGGCACAGTCCTGCGGGACGGGGGGTCAGCAGGGACGGGGGCACCCCAGGAGTGGGTGCTACCCATCAGTGGGGACACCCCAGAAACGGGGACACCCCAGAAACGAGGGCACCCCAGGAGTGGGTGCTCCCCATCAGAAGGGGCCATCCTGGGGGTCCCATCCCCATCCCAGGGGTCCTGTCCCTGTCCCCATCCCAGGGTCTCATCCCCATCCCAGGGGTCCTGTTCCCCTCCCCATAGCGGGGGTCCCATCCCTGTCCATGACCTGGGGGTCCTGTCCCTGTCCCCGTCCCCATCCTGGGGGTCCCATCCCCATCCCAGGGGTCCTGTCCCTGTCCCCATCCCAGGGTCTCATCCCCATCCCAGGGGTCCTGTTCCCCTCCCCATCCCCATCCCGGGGGTCCTGTCCCCCTCCCCAACCCGGGGGTCCCATCTCCATCCCGGGGGTCCTGTCCCCCTCCCCATCCCGGGGGTCCCATCCCTGTTCCTGGGGTCCCATCCCAGGGGTCCTGTTCCCCTCCCCATCCCGGGGGTCCCCTCCCCATCCCGGGGGTCCCGTGCCCCCCACCTCCAGGAAGGTCCCGTTCCAGAGGCGCCCGCGGGCCGTCAGGACGGCAGCGCGCTCGAAGCTGCGCAGGGGACAGCGAAAGGCCAGGCAGCGCGCGGTGCCCTGGGCACAGTCCTGCGGGACGGGGGGTCAGCAGGGACGGGGGCACCCCAGGAGTGGGTGCTACCCATCAGTGGGGACACCCCAGAAACGGGGACACCCCAGAAACGAGGGCACCCCAGGAGTGGGTGCTCCCCATCAGAAGGGGCACCCCATGAGTGGGGACACCCCAGAAACGTGGGCACCCCAGGAGTGGGTGCTCCCCAGGAGCAGGGGGCATGCCACCAGTGGGGGAACCCCAGAAATAGGGGCACCCCAGGAGAGGGTGCACCCCAGGAGTGGATGCTCCCCATCAGCAGGGGCACCCCAGGAGCAGGGACACCCCAGGAGTGGGTGCTCCCCAGGAGCAGGGGGCACGCCACCAGTGGGGAAACCCCAGAAACAGGGGCACCCCAGAAGCAGGGGCACCCCAAAAGTGGGTGCTACCCAGGAGAGGGTGCTCCCCATCAGCAGAGGCACCCCAGGAGTGGGTGCATCCCAGAAGCAGGGGAACCCCAAAAGTGGATGCTACCCAGGACAGGGTGCACCCCAGGAGTGGGTGCTCCCCATCAGCAGGGGCACCCCATGAGTAGGGACACCCCAGAAACGGGGGCACCCCAGGAGCAGGGGTACCCCAAAAGTGGATGCTACCCAGGAGAGGGTGCACCCCAGGAGTGGGTGCATCCCATCAGCAGGGGCACCCCAGGAGTGGGGACACCCCAGGAGCAGGGAGCACCCCAGGAGCGGGTGCTCCTCATCAGCAGGGGCACCCCAGGAGTGGGTGCATCCCAGAAACAGGGGCACCCAAAAAGTGGATGCTACCCAGGAGAGGGTGCTCCCCAGGAAAAGGGGTGTCCCGCAGAGGGTGCACCCCACCAGCAGGGTCTCCCCAGGACTGGGCGCGCCCCCTCCCCTCTCACCAGCGTGACGTTCCTCCTCCTCTCCGCGGGGGCCGGCACCCACCAGGACCCCGGGGTGGGCTCCTCGGCGGGGTCCCCCTCCCCCGACGGCTCCTGTGGGGGGGTGGGAAGGACGGACATGAAGCGCGGGACAAGGATGGGAATGGGATAAGACCCCTGGAATGGGGACAGGGATGAGACCCCCAGGACAGGGACAGGGATGGGGATGGAGAAGGGACCCCCAGGACAGGGACAGGGATGGGGATGGAGAAGGGACCCCCAGGACAGGGACAGGGATGGGGCCCCAGGCTGGGGAGGGGGATGAGACCCCCAGGACAGGGACGGGGATGGAGATGGGACGCCCAG